AGGAAAGAAGCAGAAGGTAACTTAGAAACATCAGTTTATAGAAAACCTTTAGCTGTTGTTATGCCACCACACAAAGAATCATATTATATACAAACCCAAAAAATATCAGCATTTTATACATGTGTTTATAGAGCTTTAAAAATATGTTCAAGACAGGAAGATATAAATAACGAATTGTTATTAATTAAGTATCTAGCTATTGAAAGAGGATTTGAACAAAATATAGTGGATAAAGCACTTAAGAAGTTTAACAAAAATGAAAATTCAATTAAAAATTCTACATTAAAATATGTTTATGAAAAAAACAAAAAAGAAACTAAGTTTACCTTACATTCCAGGTTTGACAAGTCAATTATATAAAGTATTTAAAAAGTATCAGAATTTTTACCCAATCTTCAAACCAATAAATAAGATAAAAGATATGATAGGGAATGCTAAAGACAAAACAGAATTAACAGATAAGACAGGTATATACAAGATAGAATATGAATGTGGTAGTGTTTATATTGGTCAAACTAAAAGAAATTTAAAATATAGATTGCAGGAACACAAAAGTTACATAAATAATAAAATAGAAATTTCAGTTATAGTCGAACATGTAAAAACTACCCAACATACAGTATTATGGGAAAAAACTTTAGCTTTAGCTCAGCCTCAAAGTTTTATATCATTAAATATTAGAGAAACATTAGAAATAATGAAATATAAAAACAAAAACAAATATTAAATAGAGATGAAGGACCAGCAAGTCAATACACTGATATACGGGGAGATATAATATATTTTTTTTCAATTACACTAAGGAAATATGCAAATAACAATGAAGTAATGCAACAAGGGGAAAGTATAAAATAGTCTTGTAAGTTACTTCTGAGGATGACGTAGATCACGTCGAAACACGTATGTATAGAGTGATATTTCTATTTTACAGTGGAAGCCATATGGCTTCAATAAATTTTTTATTGTGTGAATATAAAACGTTGTTTATAATTATTTATTATGATTTTAAAAAAGTAGGAGAGAACTATTAACAAATCGTGAAAAAGAGGATGTGACAGGTGGGTGTGGCAGGAGGGGTCTGATTTTCTATTCAATAGCTCTGTAACCAAACAAAATTGAAGGTTATGAAAATGATAGTTTTTCTGAGCAATAACAATTTTATAGAGAGTAATTTACATTTAATTTTATACGTTTTTGAGGGGTGATGGATAAAATAGGGATGATGACAGGCTAAGATAAAATGTGTCATATGGGTCACACTAGTGAAAATTCAGGGTTTTTAAAAATATTCCCTTGTAAAATTAAGAACTTAAAACTTGTATACTATTAAAATGTGGATTATTAGCTAAGATTTTATGCTATTCTAATTGGTATAACATAAACAAAAAGTAGTTTAATAAAATTTTGAATATAAGACACTAAGACCTTGTGTCATGGGCAGTAAAGGGTACCCAGGGCAATAGGATTAAGCTTTGTACTTAGAGATAAACTAAAATCAACCTGGCAATTAAAGAAATAGCACAGTATGATATAATGTGTTATTTCTTTAAACTTACAGAACACAAAAACACTACTTCTTAGCTTCAAGTACTCTCGTAGGTTTACAGTTTTGGGAACATTGTAACCTCATTATAACGATATGTGAGCAAAACATTCCACAATTTCCCTAAAAATAGATTGGGCAATGAAAACTTATTAAATTGATCCAACAGCGTAATTTTAAAGAAGCTTGAAACAAGCTGCTACACCACATTATTATTTAGGTATGAAGTAAAACAGCAGGACATTACGAATAACACAGCCAAAAAGTAAAGTTTATGAGATACAAAATAATAAGTAAGAAATAACAATAACACCTAAATCACACAATAAACAACTAAAATACTGGTACTCTAATTAAAATGTAACATCATTAAATGTAATAAGAAAGTAATATTTACAGTATTCAAAAATAAAAATTTTTGTTGCATGGAAAAAAAAAACAATTTTAAAGTACAATAATAAGACTTATGATCCTGAAGAAGGTAGTATTTCCAAAAAGTTGATCAAATCACATCGTATACCTTAGAATTCTACCTATAATATTCTTG